ATCCACTAGTCTGAATTTCTTTCTCTCCCATACCCCATCCGACTACATAACTACAAGTTTTCTATACATTATAGAACTATAAAAATCTAATAGGATATGTACTTACACCAATCTTCTTTGTTCTAAACTGTCAGTGTTCCTATATATTAAATTGTATTTAAAAAAAAATAATATATGATTTTATATACCTTTATGTATGTCAGCAGAAATTGTTTGAATTTATAAAAAAATAAACTTTAACCTTCTCAATCAATATTCCTTTCTAAATATTTTCATAGATGAAGCAAAATAAACTGAATTGCATTGAAATGAATACTCTATAAAGCAGACATCATGTCAAGCATTCTTTAGAACAGGATCACATTATTACCTGGAGATACTTTTTCCTGTTATTGCCACTGCTATTTAGTTTTTGCCCTCCGTCCTGTTAAATTGTTTCAGAGTTTGAATATAAGTCTGAACTAAAAATGGAGGATTTTAATCCTTTCTGGGGCAGCCCATTATTTCAAAACTTTCTTAGATGCAACACTTTAAGAACCATTGTGAAAGCCAAGAATTTTCTGAGCCCTGCCAAAATGAGTATTATGAAAAAGGAAGAAAGAAGAGGTGACTGAGACTCAGCCAGAAGTAATATTATTAAAGAAATCTTTATAGACCTGACTGGCCAATTCATCCTGTTCTGGAGACTATAGCCTTGTTCCATTCTGGCAGAGCCTCCTACCTGACGGCACGTTGTTCTTTGATCCTCATCCAAACCCCACTGATGGACAGAGAAGCCTCTCCAGGGAGCTGAGTGCACTTTGGATTGCAGCATAAAAGCATAAGTCAAACAATTTTAAAGGCTTGCTGAATAAGGCATTAACTTCAGAAATGAATTTGTGACTGAAGTTTTCAGATGCTAATGAACGATTCTTTTATATTTTAAGTCAGTAAGAACATGGTTTGTCCTGTCCCAAGTTTAACATTTGATGTATTTTGACCTTTTATTTTATTTACTTGAAAAACTGAAGCTCATGATGAAAATGTTTCTGGAAAATGGGAATAGTATCCAAAATTAACTCAGCAAATAGATCACATTCTTGAAATAGGAAGCAGTGAGGGGTGGGAAATGGTGATTCATGAAATACTCAAGTGAATTGGAGAAAAAGTCTAATTTTTTGAATGGGACAGAGACAGTAAGAGATAGAGTTTTGAATGTATTGCCAATATTTCAAAATGAAAATACTCAAAATAGCATAGGTGTGAAACAACAGTTACTAAAGTAACTCATAGCAAAAGTAGGAGATAAAAAATGAATACATCATTTAAGTCACTCTCTGGATTATACTGGTGGAATTTCCAAAAGCATTCAGCTCTACTTGATTGCACTAACTGGAATCCATAACAAACCACTTATGACTTTGGTAGGAATAAAGCTGGTCACCATGAAGATCTTTTGAAAAAAACCCACCATCCTTAAAAGCCAGAAGTGCAACTAAGTTTGTTACTTTGCCTTAAAATGCAGACCATATGCGTGAAAAAATTAATCATCTTCCTTGCCATTATTAAATATAACTTCTCTGTGAATATACTTCTTGATGACACTGAAAAGCTATCTTTGATACCATATCTGAAAGCAGTAAATTGAAAATATATTATTTACTTTAGTGATCTATTTCTAAAGTAGGAAGTGCACAGTGATATCTGATTGTGTTATTTATAATTCTGGAAGTGCTGCTGCTTTAGTGTTTTGAAATATGGAACAGACAACTCAAGAGATTATTAAATATTTGAATTTGAGATATTCCTGGGAACTTTGGACAGCCAGTCAGAACTAGTGCATGCAAATGGTAAATTGATAGGTGTTTGTAAATTGCCTTAAAAACATCTGCAACCACATACTTAAAGAAGAAGCAATGTTCACTCTCTTGTGTTATTACAGAATTTTTTGTAGTAGAGGCATCCTGATGGAAAGCTGCCCTGTGGGATACACAAAGGTCTTTTGTATAAACTTTTCTTTTTTTCTTTCTTTTTTGTGAGCAAGTTACTTGTCATATAGTAGCTTTCTTTGATGTCACACAAAATGCTGCCATGGACCTGTTTTATGTAACAAAAATCCCCTCTTATATTCACAAAGACTAACGTGTTTTCTCAGTGGTTCAGCTAGCCTCTGCCTGAAGGCTAGACAATCTCAGCCCAATTCCCAACAAGATTTCTGCCCCAGTGAGTGACGAGTTACCAGGCTCACTTTTTTCCACAGACAGGCTTTCTGTCATAAATGGGGAGTAAAAGGAGGAGGTCTCATCCTGTTGCAAGTACGTTAGTTTTTCTAACAAGAAAGCCTCCCACAATCTGTCTAGTGTAATCTGCTCAGATAGTACATAAGCATCCAGACCTCTTCTCTTAGCTGATATAACCAAACTGGATGTGGACAGTCAGTAGCTCCTCCAAAAGCATAAATATTGTTTAAATACGAGTCCATTTACTTGCAGATGTAGTTTTTATCTTGTCTTGTCTGAAAATACTAGAATATGGGTATTACAGGCTCTTGTAACCTTTGTTTCTTCCATTGTATTTACAGTCATGAGGTTTATCAGATATTGTGACTTTATAAAATTCTATATGCCATCATTTCAAAGGTGGGTGAATGCAAATAAAATGTAAATAAAGTGTAAAAACATGAGTGTACTATTAGCCTCTTCTAAATGCTTGACTTACTTGGCAACAGAAGGGGTGGATTTGAGTGAACAGCTTGCTCTGTGATCCTCCCTTACTTTTTTGAAGCAAACAAGATTTCTATTTATTCCCTATAATAAATCTATATAATATGCTTTCAGGACAGCATTTTCAAATGCAGCTTGAATGAGTCCAGTGCTAACCTAACTGGAGCAAAACCAGCTATTAGCATTGATTAAATTGGAACTGAATTAGCTTAGTAGCAACCAATTTCTATAGTTCTGGCTTCAACATTAAGTATTTTATACTGAATTATCATGTAGGTACTAATTATTTTTTTTTTTATGCTAGGCAGAAATCAAGAATAACAGAACTAAACACATTATAAAAAAAAAAAAAGAGAAACTAATGAAACATGATTAATAAAACAAATTATTTCTCCAGGCAAGTTATTAACAATATTCAAAATTCATTCTAGTTTTCTTAGATTACATTTCTTTCAGGAACAGTTTATATCCACCTAGAGATTTTATTCAGGGATATTTCATAATTATGTTATAGATTTTAATAGAGGACACACTTCACACATCAGAATACGAGAACTGCCAGATACATTCCTAAAGTCAGGTAGAAAATGAGCCCAAGTTCAGGCTCAGATGAAATGAAATGCATAAAACAGATATCCTAACATCTTGCAAATCCAGATTAAGTATGCTAGTTTGGTCAAGATAATTAACCCATTAACCTTATATCCCCAGTCAAGCCTGAACAGGATCTCTCCTAAGGACAGCGTTAGTCAGGGAATCAGTGAGAAAAAAGGGAAAGGGAGAAAAATATTGACTGACAGGGGAGGCCATCAGGAAAAATTAATCTTCCTTCAGCATAAACACAACTGTTACCTGGAACTCGCCTGGACAGAGCAAAGTGAAGCCTTCCCTCCCTTCTCCATACTGACTGCAAAATGCTGCAGGAAGCTTATAATGTAGAACCAGACCAGAACTTACCCTTTCATGCTCTTTCCACAGTTGCAGTTTTCCTGCCCTGTTATTCTGCTGAAGCTGAAAGTCTTACCTGGTGCAGAAAACCATAGCATCTCATCTACTACCCTGGAGGTGCCCAGTTCTACCATAAACTCCTGTTACCTTCTAAAACCTTACGTGGTCCTCAAGGCCTTGGTATAGTGCAGCACCTATCCATCAGAGAGCTACACCAAAAGATTTTCTAGGCTTTTCAAAGTTACAAAGCTGGAAGTTTTTGACTGCTGTAGTACCCAAACTGACAAGGTTGCATCTCTGCAGTTCTCCATAGAGAACACCCAGATTTTGGCAATTTCTGAGGCTGTGACCTAGCCAGAACCACTGATAATGATAAATAAATTATTTGTACTTAGATAAACAATAAGAAATTCTTTAGAAAAATGTTTTCAACATTGGCTCAAAGAAGAGGCCACACAAATGTGTTCACTGACTCCAAGGTGTGTGGGTTGGAATGTGTTGAAACTGTCAGAGACCATGGGAAGGAGGAACTACAGCAAGCAATTAAGAGTGACCTGTCCCTGGCTGGTACTTGGAAGATGTTGGAACTGGCAAGGAACAAGGATGTCAGAACTGGAAAGAGGATTTCTAGACCTTTCACCTGATGTAATAACTGCAAGGCAAACACAGATGTGCTTAGCAAATTGCTTGGAAGAACATAAATCTCATGTAACATTTGCAATAAATGATCCAGCTTGCACTCTACCTCTGGGTCCGTGCCTTCCATCCTCACACCAAGGCATGCTCTTCCCCTAAATCTCCAACCCAGCTACTGACAAGCAGTGCCTAGAGAACTGAGCACAGCCAGTTCCAGCTCAGTTGCCAGGCAGACTCTAGTTAAGCTCTTGTGAAACCAGTGAGGGCAACTAGGCAGAGGAGAGCATGTCTGGTGAGAGGAATGGTCTCTGTGCAGGCCCATTGTAAGCATCACATGTGAGAAGAAGCCAGCATCTGGTGAAAACTATTTAGAGAGCACAAGCTGAAAAAGCACAGGCTATATATTAACAACATACTACTTCCTGTAGTTTCTGAGTGCCTGGCTTTCTCCTGGAGCTTTCTTTTTTGGTCTCACCTGGCAGCTAAAAGGGCAAAGTGAGTCCTGAACAGGGGGCAGACAAACAGCCTGACTTTAATGCATGAAGCAGGTGCTCCAGGGTGCTGCCTGTTCCAGACTCAGCTTCTCATTTGTTACAAACCAACACAAAACTCCTCTGGGCACGCTGGACCCAAACAGTTCCTTAAAACACTAAATGAATCAAGACAGCTTTAGTACATAAAATTGTGTTTTTACTTAAGGTGAAGAGATGGAAAAGGTCTGACATTTAGTCTCACGTGACCTTTATCAAGGACAGTACAGAATATACAGGTTTAGCCTTAATAACTCGCCGTAGCCAGGAGTCTGACTTTGATAAAGGTCAGTTGGGCCCAAAATGTTGGGTCATTTTCAGTTACCCTTATCTGAAATTAAAAAAAGGCATTCTTAATAGTACAGTTTTCCTCGTTTGTAGCATTACTAAAAGAAATGTCACTTAGTTCCAGGAGGAACTTTCTATGTTATTCTGTATTAAACATAGTCTTTTCTACTGTGCCTGTTTAATTCTGCAAAGCTCTCTTCTTTGATCAAATATGCTGGCCGCTGACCAGAGAGATCATGTGAACTGAGCTCCAGTGATGTGAGTAAACAGAAACAAATGGCAGAGCAGAGTAGAACCACGGTTCTTTTTCTTTCTTTCTTTCTTTAATTCTTTCTTTTTTTTTTTTTAAGAACTTGTTCGTTAAGCAATGGAACTAAATGGAAATGGGACACATTTATGCATGTAGTCACACTGTAGTTAGGATAATTGGGACCAGCTGTTAGGCTCTTCTGTAAGAACGTTACATTGCACAAAGCTAGCACAGCAAGATGACAGGCACAAGGAAGATGCTGAAACATGTACTTGAAAGCCTCAATAATTTTCCATGTTGTTATTCAAAAAGTTTCATTCTGGCTGTGAAAGACGTATTTTCAAGCTTACATTCAGATTTTCGTTTCATGTATTCCATACACTCTAACAACGATTTTTAATTCCTCTTCCCTCCCTCATTCCCCCACTCCCCACCCCCCCCCCCCCCCCGACTTCAGCATTTACCCAAGACAGGCCACCTTGAATCAATTACATACATAAGGGGCAGAGACAGAGTTTACTTTATTGTCTGCAGAGGAAAATCCTGTCTGGAAACCATTTCTTTCTAGAACTGCCTAGTATTGCACATTCTTCTTTTCAAAATTCATCTCAAGAGTAACTTGACAGAGTTTTGCTTATACAAGTTGCTGTACCACAGGAGAAATACTCATTTGGAGACAGGCTGCATCGGCTGTCTGTTGTGACTGAGTAAAGGTAAGTAAATTAACTTAGACTCCTTCCTCTGTCCCTGTCTTGGGCTTACAGCAAGCTGTGTCAAAAAGGGGAGATAACAGTGTAAAGGGGTCTGTTTTCCCTTGTGATGGTGATGAAAAGAAAGAGGAGGAGAAAGAGGTGAGCTGTGACTATCAGGCGGGACAGTAAAGCCAGCCTAGAGCAAAATCCTGTTACTGGTAAAGGAGAAAGTGGGAAACAAAGTTAGAGACTATGCTTTACTGCAACCTATTCCTAAGTTCTTGGGTCATATATAGTGTTCACAGACTGAGATCAATTCTTAAAGTAGCCCACAGTGACTTACCTTAGAAGCTCTGTAGAGTTATATATATTGCATTAAAAGATTCTTGCCCCTATTGAATAATATACATACAAAACCAAACCTTTGTTTATGTCTAACTTGAGGGATGTATGCTTCATTGAACTTCTTTGATTCCATCCTCTCAAGTCACAAATAAAACCAGTCCTGATACTACTATGGTCTTTACTCTCCTGTCTTGTCACTACTAGAGACAGTGAACTAGCCTGAAGGTGGCTGCACATGTCTACCAACACTAATGAAAGAAAAGTAATTTGGCCTTCAAAATTTTTAGCCTGCACTAGATGCTAGAACAAAAATCAGAACAATCTGCAGAAGATTTCCTACCCAAGACATCTGGACAGAAGTTCAGACTCATTTGAAAAAACAGACCTGTTTTTCTGTAGAGATTTTGGGCAATTTAAGCTGGATCAGACCCCTCAGGTTCTAATGAACAGGGAACGTGCTAAACAGTCCTTATAAGCAATCTTAAATCCATGAAATGGTTACTTTACACACCTTTAGATAAAATAGCTTTGAGACTAATTTGGTATCAGTGGTTTGGAAGACAGTTTCAAACCTACTAACAGAATTCTAGTATTTTCCAAGAAAAAAACATGATTTCTGTAAAGAGAAGAATCTAATATAGCCATGTTCATTTGTGAACAAAGGATCAACGATAAAGTTAAGTCTGAAGTTAAGGTATCCTCAGCCATCTTGTATTCTAGTTCATGTGAGATGACTCCATGATTCTATCAGGGATAAACTTCCAAGTTTCTACATGTAAAACTATGGTCAGGTCCAGAAATAGCATGTTGAAGAAGTATGCTTTTAACTGAGGTTGTTTTGTTTTTTAGAAAGAGCCTCATATGACTGTACTTATATTAATTATGTGAAGGTTATAGTTTTGACCAGAAGAATACATATATTGCATTACATATGCTTAGAAGAAATACCTGGAATGGAAGTTTTTCCTTCCTCTTTTACCAGAAAGATTTAGGCTTATTCACCTCTGGCAGGCATCTCTATATGTATCATCCAATGAGGCTTTTTACATTATGGTCCTTTATCTCTCTAGAGCCAAATTCAAACTCTACATTGGCTTTGCAGTTCCAGCCCTAATGATCCTCTGTTTTGTTTCTCTTGGATTGTTCAGGGAAACAGAGATTCACTTTGGAAAATTAATTAGATTTTAACACTACCATGTGCTTTATATAATCCTACCAGTAGGTGGCATGGCATTAGAGGGGAAACAAAAAGTACTCGGGGGCTGAAAAAGTAACAGTCTCAGGAAGATCTCCTGTGGATGCTCACTATTGATCACATAGCATATGCCTACTCCCACAACAGAAAGAATAAAAACCCTTGCTATTTATTCCATAGAACTATTATTACTTTCCTAGGGGAACAGCAAAAATAGCAATCCACTTTGCATGTGACTTCCAGCTTTACGTTAGCAGAAATGGATGACATGTAGAAAACAAAACAGGTCACACAAACAAGGAGACAAAGTCAATCTCATTTTGTGGCTTTGATTCACTGATTCCCAGTTCTCTTCAGCTTTGAGGAACAGGAACCCTGAGGGAAAAAGTGCAGCTAACTTGAGTGCACCCAGCTTGAGTGGTTAACAGACTTGTTACAGGGCTACTCCATTCCTCATCATTGCCTCAACATTTAGTGAATCAAATGCATGACGTTTGGCCAGTTGATGACTATTCATTTAATAGTAACTATCAGGTGATCTCTCTTGACCTTTGTGGAAGCAATATCTGTATTTAAATAAGCCTACACCAGTGTGACTTCAAGGTAAGATAATAAGCTCAGTCAATGACATACTAGAAAGCAAGCAAACCAAATCCTGTAATGACATGAACTGTGCATACATGTATGCCTTCATACAGAAGTTGAAGTACACATTCTGATTGTCCGAAAGAAAGAAAGAAAGAAAGAAAGAAAGAAAGAAAGAAAGAAAGAAAGAAAGAAAGAAAGAAAGAGAGGCAGGGAGGGAAGGAAGGAAGGAAGGAAGGAAGGAAGGAAGGAAGGGAAAGCAAGGGAAAAGCAAGGGAAAAGCAAGGAAAGGAAAGGAAAGGAAAGGAAAGGAAAGGAAAGGAAAGGAAAGGAAAGGAAAGGAAAGGAAAGGAAAGGAAAGGAAAGGAAAGGAAAGGAAAGGAAAGGAAAGGAAAGGAAAGGAAAGGAAAGGAAAGGAAAGGAAAGGAAAGGAAAAGGAAAGGAAAGGAAAGGAAAGGAAAGGAAAGGAAAGGAAAGGAAAGGAAAGGAAAGGAAAGGAAAGGAAAGGAAAGGAAAGGAAAGGAAAGGAAAGGAAAGGAAAGGAAAGGAAAGGAAAGGAAAGGAAAGATAAATCTACACACCCTTCTTTTTCCACAGATCATACCTAGCATTCAAAAGAGACACTGAGCTGCCACAGACTAATTAAGAGGAAAGAGAAGGATTGTATTTACGTGTAAATGATACTCTAAAATGGAAACTATATCAATAATGTAGCAATAAAATACTTGAAAGGAAATGGATTTTGGATGAAGTCAGTTTTTCAAAATCTTCCTCCAGAAAAGAGAATAATGCTTTTAAATTGCTATTCATGCTGACTGCTGCTACTTGTTAACCTTTTGCCCTGGGGAGAAAATACAGCGTAGCAGTACAAGGCCTCTATAATAAGCTTATCTCCTTGGGATTCTGAGGCACGTTGTTATTTTTTTTCCTCCAGAGCCATACTGTAAACTACATACCACTTGGGCTGACTCACACAGTCCCCGGGAGGAGGATGCGGAAGAGCAGGCTGCTTTCTCATGAGAAGTTCAACATGGTGAAATTCCTCTTCCATTTCAACAGCTCCAAAGCCATTTTGCACCCAGCTTGACCTGGCAGATGTAACTCTTCTGCTCTCACTCCTTAATTTGTCTGCATTTGGCTCAGGTTCATAGCTTTTTTGAGTGCCCGATGGCTTTCCTGGTTGGAGCTATAAAAAAAGTCTGGGCCTACTCAAGTATCAGCATGAGAGCAATAGCGTAGGCGTTCCTTGGAAGCGGCAGAAAGAAAGGGGCAGATGAGCTGACAGCCAGCATTCCTGTCTTGCCAGCTTGGAGGAAGTTGCCCGCAGCCGGTCACCATATGTTTGACTCCAAACTAGGGAGCAGAGAGGCCAGAATGATTCAGAGAGTTCGGATGATTTGTTATCTCTCTCTCAAGAGAGATGGGGAGCCTTGAAGCTTACAAGCATCACCTGCATTCACTGCCTTTCCTTTCCAAAAAGACATGTCAAAAAACTAGCAACAGGAATCTTCCTCTTAAACCCTCTTAAACGTTCTTGGTAGGCAAACACAATGATTTCTGAAAGGGTCTTTTTTCTGGGGTGTCTTTAGGTATATTGCCACTCTTTGAATTTGCTCCAGGTTGTTTTAATCTGGTGAAGAATTTTAAGCTGCCCAGTTAAAGAAAAATAGAGGGGAAAACACTTCCCAACTGTATTTACAGCACATGCATTTTTGCAGCATGTAATGGAATGCAATTCAGAAATCCTTGATCTAATTTAGACCCAGCAAATCCCCACAGTCCAACGAAGTGAACAATATGAAAACAAGTAAGATCAGAAAGCACCAAAACAACTGTGTGCAGCACCATATTAAATATTTACACAGTTTCAGATATGAACTGGGCTGTGACCAGAGATAATAGGCATGCTTTCATGCCTCCCCTGTTCTTCCTTTTCAGGTGTTGGAGACTGCTGGGAGAAGTCTCCAACAATAAAG